TCTAGATTACCGTATCTATTTGTAGATTCATACATTTATGAATCGTCACCAATGACTTCCACGTACGATTTCACATTTATAAATCACCTCGCCATACACCCCCTGGGACATTGCCACGTGACCCCCACGTACCCTCTGGGACATTGCCACGTGACCCCCACGTACCCCCTGGGACATTGCCACGTGACCCCCACGTACCCCCTGGAACATTGCCACGTGACCCCCACGTACCCCCTGGAACATTGCAACGTGACCCCACGTACCACGTGGGACGTTGCCACGTGACCCCCACGTACCCTCTGGGACATTGCCACGTGACCCCCACGTACCCCCTGGGACATTGCCACGTGACCCCCACGTACCCCCTGGAACATTGCCACGTGACCCCCACGTACCCCCTGGAACATTGCCACGTGACCCCACGTACCACCTGGGACGTTGCCACGTGACCCCCACGTACCCCTGAGACGTTGCCACGTGTCCCCCACGTACCCCCTGGGACGTTGCCACGTGACCCCCACGTACCCCCTGGGACACTGCCACGTGACCCCCACGTACCCCCTGGGACATTGTCACGTGACCCCCACGTACCCTCTGGGACATTGCCACGTGACTCCCACGTACCCCTGGGACATTGCCACGTGACCCCCACATACCCCCTGGGACATTGCCACGTGACCCCCACGTACCCTCTGGGACATTGCCACGTGACCCCGACGTACCACCTGGGACATTGCCACGTGACCCCCACGTACCCCCTGGAACATTGCCACGTGACCCCCACGTACCCCCTGGGACGTTACCACGTGCCCCCCACGTACCCCCTGGGACATTGCCACGTGACTCCCACGTACCCCTGGGACATTGCCACGTGTCCCCCACGTACCCCCTGGAACATTGCCACGTGACCCCCACGTACCCCCTGGGACGTTGCCACGTGCCCCCCACGTACCCCCTGGGACATTACCACGTGACCCCCACGTACCCCGTGGAACATTGTCACGTGACCCCCACGTACCCCCTGGAACACTGCCACGTGACCCCCACGTACCCCCTGGGACATTGTCACGTGACCCCCACGTACCCCTTGGGACATTGCCACGTGACTCCCACGTACCCCCTGGGACATTGCCACGTGACCCCCACGTACCCCGTGGAACATTGTCACGTGACCCCCACGTACCCCCTGGAACACTGCCACGTGACCCCCACGTACCCCCTGGGACATTGTCACGTGACCCCCACGTACCCCTGGGACATTGCCACGTGACCCCCACATACCCCCTGGGACATTGACACGTGACCCCCACGTACCCTCTGGGACATTGCCACGTAACCCCCACGTACCCCCTGGGACATTGCCACGTGACCCCCACGTACCCCCTGGAAAATTGCCACGTGACCCCCACGTACGCCCTGGACGTTGCCACGTGACCCCCACGTACCCCTGAGACGTTGCCACGTGACCCCCACGTACCCGCTGGGACGTTGCCACGTGACCCCCACGTACCCCCTGGGACATTGTCACATGACTCCCACGTACCCCTGGGACATTGCCACGTGACCCCCACGTACCCCCTGGGACATTGCCACGTGACCCCCACATACCCCCTGGGACATTGTCACGTGACCCCCACGTACCCCCTGGGACATTGCCACGTGACCCCCACGTACCCCGTGGAACACTGTCACGTGACCCCCACGTACCCCCTGGAACACTGCCACGTGACCCCCACGTACCCCCTGGGACATTGTCACGTGACCCCCACGTACCCCCTGGGACATTGCCACGTGACTCCCACGTACCCCTGGGACATTGCCACGTGACCCCCACATACCCCCTGGGACATTGCCACGTGACCCCCACGTACCCACTGGTACATTGCCACGTGACCCCCACGTACCCCCTGGGACATTGCCACGTGACCCCCACGTACCCCCTGGAACATTGCCACGTGACCCCCACGTACCCCCTGCGACGTTGCCACGTGACCCCCACGTACCCCTGAGACGTTGCCACGTGACCCCCACGTACCCCCTGGGACGTTGCCACGTGACCCCCACGTATTTCCTGGAACATTGCCACGTGACCCCCACGTACCCCCTGGGACATTGCCACGTGACCCCCACGTACCCCTTGGGACATTGCCACGTGACTCCCACGTACCCCTGGGACATTGCCACGTGACCCCCACATACCCCCTGGGACATTGCCACGTGACCCCCACGTACCCTCTGGGACATTGCCACGTGACCCCACGTACCTCCTGGGACATTGCCACGTGACCCCCACGTACCCTCTGGGACATTGCCACGTGACCCCCGCGTACCCCCTGGGACATTGCCACGTGACCCCCACGTACCCCCTGGAACATTGCCACGTGACCCCCACGTACCCCCTGGAACATTGCCACGTGACCCCACGTACCACCTGGGACGTTGCCACGTGACCCCCACGTACCCTCTGGGACATTGCCACGTGACCCCCACGTACCCCCTGGGACATTGCCACGTGACCCCCACGTACCCCCTGGAACATTGCCACGTGACCCCCACGTACCCCCTGGAACATTGCCACGTGACCCCACGTACCACCTGGGACGTTGCCACGTGACCCCCACGTACCCCTGAGATGTTGCCACGTGACCCCCACGTACCCCCTGGGACGTTGCCACGTGACCCCCACGTACCCCCTGGGACACTGCCACGTGACCCCCACGTACCCCCTGGGACATTGTCACGTGACCCCCACGTACCCTCTGGGACATTGCCACGTGACTCCCACGTACCCCTGGGACATTGCCACGTGACCCCCACATACCCCCTGGGACATTGCCACGTGACCCCCACGTACCCTCTGGGACATTGCCACGTGACCCCGACGTACCACCTGGGACATTGCCACGTGACCCCCACGTACCCCCTGGAACATTGCCACGTGACCCCACGTACCCCCTGGGACGTTACCACATGCCCCCCACGTACCCCCTGGGACATTGCCACGTGACTCCCACGTACCCCTGGGACATTGCCACGTGACCCCCACGTACCCCCTGGAACATTGCCACGTGACCCCCACGTACCCCCTGAGACGTTGCCACGTGCCCCCCACGTACCCCCTGGGACATTACCACGTGACCCCCACGTACCCCGTGGAACATTGTCACGTGACCCCCACGTACCCCCTGGAACACTGCCACGTGACCCCCACGTACCCCTTGGGACATTGCCACGTGACTCCCACGTACCCCCTGGGACATTGCCACGTGACCCCCACGTACCCCGTGGAACATTGTCACGTGACCCCCACGTACCCCCTGGAACACTGCCACGTGACCCCCACGTACCCCCTGGGACATTGTCACGTGACCCCCACGTACCCCTGGGACATTGCCACGTGACCCCCACATACCCCCTGGGACATTGACACGTGACCCCCACGTACCCCCTGGGACATTGCCACGTGACCCCCACGTACCCCCTGGGACATTGCCACGTGACCCCCACGTACCCCCTGGAAAATTGCCACGTGACCCCCACGTACGCCCTGGACGTTGCCACGTGACCCCCACGTACCCCTGAGACGTTGCCACGTGACCCCCACGTACCCGCTGGGACGTTGCCACGTGACCCCCACGTACCCCCTGGGACATTGTCACATGACTCCCACGTACCCCTGGGACATTGCCACGTGACCCCCACGTACCCCCTGGGACATTGCCACGTGACCCCCACATACCCCCTGGGACATTGTCACGTGACCCCCACGTACCCCCTGGGACATTGCCACGTGACCCCCACGTACCCCGTGGAACATTGTCACGTGACCCCCACGTACCCCCTGGAACACTGCCACGTGACCCCCACGTACCCCCTGGGACATTGTCACGTGACCCCCACGTACCCCCTGGCACATTGCCACGTGACTCCCACGTACCCCTGGGACATTGCCACGTGACCCCCACATACCCCCTGGGACATTGCCACGTGACCCCCACGTACCCTCTGGGACATTGCCACATGACCCCCACGTACCCCCTGGGACATTGCCACGTGACCCCCACGTACCCCCTGGGACATTGCCACGTGACCCCCACGTACCCCTTGGGACATTGCCACGTGACTCCCACGTACCCCTGGGACATTGCCACGTGACCCCCACATACCCCCTGGGACATTGCCACGTGACCCCCACGTACCCTCTGGGACATTGCCACGTGACCCCACGTACCTCCTGGGACATTGCCACGTGACCCCCACGTACCCCCTGGAACATTGCCACGTGACCCCCACGTACCCCCTGGGACGTTGCCACGTGACCCCCACGTACCCCTGAGACGTTGCCACGTGACCCCCACGTACCCCCTGGGACGTTGCCACGTGACCCCCACGTACCTCCTGGGACATTGCCACGTGACCCCCACGTACCCCTTGGGACATTGCCACGTGACCCCCACGTACCCCGTGGAACATTGTCACGTGACCCCCACGTACCCCCTGGAACACTGCCACGTGACCCCCACGTACCCCCTGGGACATTGTCACGTGACCCCCACGTACCCCCTGGGACATTGCTACGTGATTTCCACATACCCCCTGGGACATTGCAGGTGACCCCCGGAGGTGGTCCGCGTCGTTAACCCCCCAGTTGAGAATCGCTCCACGAACCACATCAAACTCACCCCTACCTAAAATGGTTATCCGGTGTTCCCTTCGGGCGTCCTCTGCACTGCCACTCACCTAAGATGGCGCATCAAGCCCCACGCGCCCGCTGATTTGCTTTCTTTTCAACATTAACATAATTTATCATTTATTCCGTTGCGTATTCATTTTATCTTTTGCATTGCGCGTCTCTCCGCCTTGACGGAGGTCTCACAGCAAATCGCGTCGGTCCTTACCTAAGATGGCCACCCGCCCCCCATTCTTTCCCGACGTGACCCCCCCCTTATCCCTACCTAAGATGGCACGGTGGGGGGGGGTCTAAAGAAGCTACGTCACGGCTCACTGCGGGGGATTCCCCCACAGCCAATCGCGTTGCACGTTGCGCGTAAAGTGCAGAGACCGCGATGAAGGCGGCGGCATCGCGTGCGTGAGTTCGCGGGACGCAACGGCCGAGCATGTCGCCATACGTCTACGAGCGCCTCCTCGCCTCGCCCTGCCTGGCCGCGGGAAGAAGGCTAAAGCTGCGCGCCCTGGCCAAGCAGGACCGCGATCAGACGCCGGTGAGGATGACCACCACCCCGACCCCCGTATCACTGAAACCCATCCCCTCACCCTCACCTCCCCGCGGGCCTAGGCGCCCCGATCCCGGTAGGGAATCCAGGCGAGGGCGACGCCTCGGCTCTTGGTTAGGCCTTGGCTGCCGGGGAAGGTGAACGAGGTCACGGGTTCGGAGCTCGAATTATTTCCGAGTGAATTAAAATTTGATCTCGCCACGATCTCGCAAGCTAAGCGGGGTTGAGCCTGGCTAAGTGCTCGGGTAAATGCGGCCGACAGGGACGGCAGCCGCTGAGACGGAGCGGTGAGGTCGGTTTTGGTGCTGGTGGGTGGAGTGAAATGGATCGTGATAACAGCGCTGGACCGTGAAGACTGGTGGCGGGGTGGGCAGACCTTCATCCAGCAGTGGATAAATCGTGGTTGAGGCTTGGGAAAACTGCCCGCGAATACCAGGTGTTATAGGCTCGGGCTCTTGCGTTGTGAAGTGTGGGCGATGAATTATTTAACGCATCTGTGCGGATCGTTGCATATGTGTGTGTGTGTTGTATCCTCCCTAATGGAACATCTTCGCCGGTTAGAAACATTTAGGCTGGCCTGCCTACGATCCATCCTGGGTTTAACCAGACTGGATTGTGTGAGGAGCTCACAAATCCTTGAAAGATCTGGGCAAGGTCCCATCGGTGAGCTCCTCCGGCGGGCAAGGCTGCGATGGCTGGGTCATGTAGCCCGCATGCCCAGCCACCGCATGCCGAAACAGCTTTTGTTCGGCCGGATCGAGGGGGCTAAACGGGCGCGGCACGGGCTAGAGAAGAGATGGAGTGATGTGGTACAGGAGGACATGGAGCTGAGTGGACTTGCCGATGACTGGTACCAGCGGTGTCAATATCGGCCTCTGTGGAGGAGGATCGTGAAGGACGCTACTGGGCAGTTGGAGGCAGTCGCCCTCCAACAACAACGGAGGGCGGAGGAGCGACGCTCACAACAACGAGCGGAGCGCCGGGTGGCTAAAGCACAGCAGGTTGGCACAGTAGGGGGCACAGGTGGTGCATCAGCCAGTCAACTCAGTCAGTCGACCCGTGGCACCTGGGTCTGCCCCGTGACCTCCTGCCGGCGGGCGTTCGACACTCCACGTGGCGTCAAGGTGCACATAGCCTGGCACAAGCGTCGTGGTGACGTCACCGCCACTTAGTGGCGAATGGCGGTTGTTGTGTTGTTGTTGTATCCTTCTGTTCGGAGTTGCGGCACAGTATTTAGCACACTGCTGCAGGAGCTCAACGGGCCCGAGTTTGATTCCCGTTCACGGTTAACATCCGCTGTGGAGAATATTTCACGTGGTCCTGGGTCTCCCATCGGCTGGCTCAACCTGCAACGATTATCTGTTACTGGAGATACAAAGGCGGCCACGTGTGGCGCTGTCTCCGCGCCATCCCCTCGTGCGCCTATTCGGCCTTATTAATAGGTGCTCGCTAACAGCACGACCCCCCCCCCAACGTCCTACATGGCCTCGGCGTGGACCTTGGACAAATATCGCAGTGTTAGCAGCAGCAGGCGCAGCACCCTCATGAGCAAAAAAGCATCGAGGCTAAGCGAGGCTTTGCTGGGTAAATAAAGTGAATTGTTAACGTTATTTACTATCATTATTCTTATATTCACGGGCATAAAACAAAATCGATTCGTTAGCAATGCCCTGAAATGCAAATAAGTAGATTTAGTAGGTGACGTTTCTGGCAACGGCCTTTCTTCACAGCGCAGAGACAATGTATTTTGTACGGAACAGATGCAATTTTTTGTATTTTCCCAGTAAAGGCTCACTGAGCTATATAGATATTTTTTAGACGCGACCTGGCTATATCACAAATGATAGCTCGGCGAGAAGTGGCTTCATCATCATCGCGTGGAAATTTCTCGCAGCCACATAACTTCAAAGATGAAGGTGACTCAGGCTGGTTTATGAACTGCAGTGGGGATATTTGGCATTGAATTCCATGAGTGATGCTTGCTGGTCTGGCCTCTTGTGAAAGGAAACCAGATAACCTTTGAACCCAGGATGGATGTTAGGTAGGCATCCAAGTGTATTATGTTCAACCAGATGACAACTCAAGACACCTGGATAGACCTGCTAAGCTGAATGTAACAAGAGGGTCCACGTTTTCACAAGCAGACAGGGCACGCATGCATGCACGTCACTTGGGTGATGATCACACTGTGTAATGAGCTCCCGTTTTTCCCTCCACATATTTAGAATAAACATCACGCGTTTAGAGTTTGGCTGCTACACATTTCCAAGTGATGATAAGCCGCTTCGTCGAGGTATCATTTTGTGGCCTGGTCGCTTCTGAAAAAGAGGTCAATAGTTCAGTTGGGCCTTACCTGGTCAAATACAAATAAATTGTTTAGAGTAGACACTGTCCGGATCGTTCAAGGTTGTGTGAGCTCCTCACACGATCCAGCTTGGTTAAACCCGGAATGAATCGTGGTAGCTCAGCTGGCCTGAATGTTCAAGGCCAGCGCAAATTGTTCATCTGAATGCGGGTCAGGTTTTTCGGGCTGAGAGAAGAGCGTGCACGCATATAGAGGATATGCACACGTGAATAGTACGTGGAAGAGTGAGGTTATTTGAATGAACGCATAGACACTGGCACGCACAGCACGTGGCGTTGGGAATGTGAATGCTCATTTAAATGCAAAGTTACAGGGCGGGTAAAACACGGGAGAGGTTGCACTGTGGGGGGGGGGGGGGCATCTGAGAGTCACGCCCAGAGTCCAGTTCATCCTTAAGACCACGTGGGCGGATGTACTTAGGGCTTTTTTTGGGCCCTAACAATGTAAAATTTTTAAACCAACTCAAGGAAGGAGCCGCATGCAGAGGCATGATGACTGTTAAGTTTCAGTTTCATTTATTAGGTATAGCCCTGTGCAATCCTCCAACTCCTGTTATCCACTCTCTGTGTGCCCTGTGCTATGTTTGTGCTTTGAATGAGGGCCATTCCTCCGAAACGTCGCCTAATGTATGCTTAAATCTTGACTTAAAGCTTTCGTGACTGCAGGAATTCATATTCTTGGGTCTTTCGGTAAGTCACGTAGATAGATCATGGGTCCTCCTTTGCCAGTACCAAAATATGAGAATAGGTTTTCCCCTTTTTTTGGCAACAAAACAGGTGTTAAGATGTTGAAACACCAAACTGTGCATTAACCACAATACTTGTTGTCAGAATGCAAACAAAAAACATACAATGCATATATTATCAGAGTACGTTTCAAATACAATGCATATATTATCAGAGTACGTTTTTTGTTTGCATTCTGACCGAAAGTATTGTGGTTAATGCAGACATGATTCCTTGTAAAAGATTTCAGTTTGGTGTTTTAACATCTTAGCACCTGTTTTGTTGCCAGAAAAAAAGGGGAAAACCTATTCTCACGTAGATAGGTTCAAAGAAAATAATCAAAAATAACAGAAACGCAAGCGTTGCGATCGAAACGTAGTTTTCCGTTATTTTTTATTATTTTCTTTGAACCTATCTACGTAACTTTATCGAAAGACCCAAAAATATAACCCCCCCCCCCCCCCCCCCCCCCCCTTTTAAGGGCGCAGTGTTATTTTATTTAATGACTGTTAAGGGGCCATCCATTTAGTAGGTACGCAAAAATATATCACAACTTGACCCCCTGTACGCACGCAGCCTTTTTACACCCCCCCCCCCCACCTGGGTACGTACGCTTGACGCACCCCCCCCCCCCCGAATCCTGTAGAACGGCCGATATTTAATCCACACAGATTATCAAGGATTAATAATATTAACGTGTTGAAGGCCAATATAGGCAAATTATGATCGAGGCATCACACCCCCCCCCCCCTCGTTTCCTATACGTACGTACATTGTCAGTAGACCCCCCCCCCATACGCAAGCGTACGCATTTGGGTTAACCTCCCTCCTCCGTGCGTACATACTAAATGGATGGGCCCTAACTGTTAGCTACGGAGTCTCCACACCGCGCAGGGATGGCATGCGGGCCAGGGCAGTCCCTGTCTCGTCCTGCACTGCACAGTGACTACTGCAGTGCTGTGGGATTGTACGTGCAGTCCAGAATTGGATTGTTTTTGGTGGTTTCATCTGTGCTTATTGTACTTGTTTTATATTGCTTTGTATATATTATATAAAAAAAGCAAATAGCCATTAAAGATTAACCATATATATTTGTTTGTGTGTGATAGGGTGGTGCTAGAAGTAGTGTAGCGGTTAGCGTTCTGCGCTATGAACCCGGGGCCCTTCTTATACTGTCAGCGTTGTCTCGCTTTGCCCCGGCCACGCCCCCCTTCTGGAACCATCTCGCGGGCTCTCGACGTGTCCCTTCCGTAACCTTTCCCCGACATCCCTCTCGGGTCTATCGCGTGGCCTGCTGTCTGTCAGGGCTGCTATAAGCTGCAGATCCTCTTCCCTGCCAGCAGCCAGCGCTATGCTGCTAAGTGACGGATTCCATGTCACTACACGTGCATGTGTGTGCGTGGGATAGTGTAGTGGTTAGTGCCCTGCGATACGACTCCGTGACCTGAGTTCAATTCCCACTAATGGCCAACGCCAGTGACGATTATCTGAACCAGTCCTGGGCCTCCACTAGGTCGACTCATCCTCAAATGAGTACCCGGTGCGAAGGGTAAACATCGTCACTCGGGAGACAACGGTGGCCGGCCAAGGGTGTAGTGCTGCTACGTGTATGTACGTTGAACTTCTTTCGCACCGTACGTGCTGATCAGAGTTGCGTAACCTATCATCGTGTTCCCGCAGGCGTTTGTCTCGGTGCGATGGTTTGGCGCTGGGCCGTGGGGGGGACGTCAACCGGGCCCACCCCCCCGTCGTCTTGCTGCCCCCATTGCCCTGCCCAGCTTCCCCCACGGCTGCCCTCGGGGCCTCCGCTGCCTTCCCGAGAGACCCGAGCGTGAGAGCGCACCGCACAGACACGGGCAGTCCGATGCAGCCCCACACAGCCTCACGCAGTCTCCAAGTTGCGTCGACCCCATGGAACAACCAAGTTGAACTGATTTATATAATAATAAACTATAAACTATGTTTTAGTTTACCAGGTAAGGCCCCACTGAGCTGTATAGCGCTCTTTCAGAAGCGACCCTGGCCATCACGAATGATAGCTCAACGAAGTGTGGAAATTTATAGCCGCCAAATGTTCTTAAAAGCGCAGTGACATTGATTCTAAATCCGAAGGGTAAAACCAGAGGACCTGGTGAAAACTCCACGTGACCACGGGGGGAGAGAGAGAGATACAAACTCCAAATATACAGGCGTCATGGTCGGGATGGAACCCACAATCTCCTGTATGCCGGGCGAGGGCGTTAACATCTAGTCGCCATGGCGCACCGTACAGTGTTCGCTCACTCTCTTAGAAAGAGGATAACGACTCGAGAGGAGTGGGTAGGAAACGCAGGCGAGCAGGGAAGGCGGCAGCCATGCGGGGAGCGTGGTGCCACCAACAGTTGTTCAAGCTCTGTAGTCCTCTATATATTAAGGTGTTATAGGCCAATTAATGATGAGTGCTTACATGTGTGGGAGGAAACTGGAAGCCCACACATGCGAGGGGAAAACACTATCCCATACCAAACCTGAAAAAACATTATGTGAAGCACATCCAGTCAGGCCAACAACACAGTTAGACACTCCCTGGCGGACCACGAATTTCATAAGAGTGTTAAATTTCGTTTTCAACCTTTGGATTGCACATACCAGCATAGATAGAATGAAAAATACGAGGTACACGGTCAGTAGAAATACATATACAAGTCCACCAAGAGGTACGGAGGGAGGAAAGACGGACAGGGAGGCAGAGAGAGGGGGGGGGGCGGAGTGTTGAACAGAAGCTTAAATAGGAAATATTTTATGCAGTCACGAAAGCTTTAATACTTTAAGAAAACAATTGGTAACACTACGCCGTGAAGGATTGAAAGCCTGCAGTGCCCGCAAGGTCCCCCTGCTCAAGAAAGCACATATACATACCCATCTGAAGTTTGCCAATGTACATCTGAATGATTCAGAGGAGAACTGGGTTAAAGTGTTGTGGTCAGATGAGACCAAAATGGAGCTCTTTGGCATCAACTCAACTCGCCGTGTTTGGAGGAGGAGGAATGCTGCCTATGACCCCAAGAACACCATCCCCACCGTCAAACATGGAGGTGGAAACATTATGCTTTGGGGGTGTTTTTCTGCTAAGGGGACAGGACAACTTCACCGCATCAAAGGGACGATGGACGGGGCCATGTACCGTCAAATCTTGGGTGAGAACGTCCTTCTCTCAGCCAGGGCATTGAAAATGGGTCGTGGATGGGTATTCCAGCATGACAATGACCCAAAACACATGGCCAAGGCAACAAAGGAGTGGCTCAAGAAGAAGCACATTAAGGTCCTGGAGTGGCCTAGCCAGTCCCCAGACCTTTATCCCATAGAAAATCTGTGGAGGGAGCTGAAGGTTCGAGTTGCCAAACGTCAGCCTCGAAACCTTAATGACTTGGAGAAGATCTGCAAAGAGGAGTGGGACAAAATCCCTCCTGAGATATGTGCAAACCTGGTGGCCAACTACAAGAAACGTCTGACCTCTGTGATTGCCAAGAAGGGTTTTGCCACCAAGTACTAAGTCATGTTTTGCAGAGGGGTCAAATACTTATTTCCCTCATTAAAATGCAAATCAATTTATAACATTTTTGACATGCTTTTTTCTGGATTTTGTTGTTGTTATTCTGTCTCTCACTGTTCAAATAAACCTACCATTAAAATTATAGACTGATCATTTCTTTGTCAGTGGGCAAACGTACACAATCAGCAGGGGATCAAATACTTTTTTCCCTCGCTGTACTCGCTTAACGACCGGTTTTGTTAAGAGGGGTCGACTGTAATTTAAATTTTACCAGCTAAGGCCCACCGAGCTATATTGCTCTTTTTCAGAAGCGACCTGGCCATAAACGATTGCCCAACGAAGTGGCTTATGACGGGGACATTTATAGCAGCCATATACTCTGAACACATGTTTCTAAATGTGGAGGGGAAAAAAAACGGAGGACCCGGAGAAAAATCCACGCTACCACGAGGAGAGCGACAAGCAAACTCCAAGTATACAGAAGGCGTCAGGGTCGGGGTCGAACCCACAACCTCCTGCATGCCAGGCGAGGTAGTTAACATCTCGCCAGCGAGGCCACCCCTCTAGCAATCATCACCCCCCCCCACCCACCAAAACCTGGCAGGACCCTCCTAATAAAGAGTCGTAAGACTCATGAGGCTTTTAATCTGTAAACAGGCGTCCTAGTAATAACAATACAGGAATTGTAAATACAATGCATGCATTCCTGGAAACCCCGTTGTAAATGCACGTTAATCGGGCCCTATTTTCCCATAGACAAAAGAAACAGTAGAAACATCACTTGCCGATGTGGTTTTTTCTTCCATTTATTGGCGTATCTTAACGGGTTTAATAGCCAGACGTCCACAAAAAAACTCGAGGAACAAAAATCTCCACGGCAATTCACGTCGGAAACCAGCGCGGCTGTTCAAATGCTTTCGGAGTGATGTCGTGTCGGGAAACGCGACGTAAATTGAATTTCTGCGTCGGAAATCGATCCATGGTGGCATTGTACAAAGGTCGTGGTTGTGGAACCAATTTGAATCAAGACCGGAGACCACCCATATGTATGTTGAACTTCTTTCACACTGTATGTAGCCAACCGTGCTAATAGGTGGTCAGAATGGCCCACAATGGTTTATTACGCACAGTACACACACAGTTGCAAGCGACCTTTCACCAGAGTTAATTGTTTATAATGCAGGTGTCTGGGGGATAGTAATTAGGCAATGTATCAGTGCATCTTGATTGATTATTCTTGGTACTGGTGTTGCCCCTCCTGTGAGCTGCAGATGGAGGCTGCTGTGCCAGAACAAAGGGAGTGTTTGAGATCTTTACAGCGGCGTTTGTGTGTCTGCTGCAGTGAGGCCCCTGCTGTGCTGGTCTCTGGAAATGAGCCGATCACCTGACTTCATCACCCGGCCCGTACCGGTGAGATCCAGCCGGCCCCAAACAACGGGCACACTACACACATACAAAGACAACAAGACCACCCTAAGCATGCAGATACGCCATACACACCACGCACACACCACACACAGATCCTCAAGGCCACACCACACATACATCTAGACCACGGTGACACAGCCCACACACCACACACACATACCACACAAACATCTACACCATGGGGACACTGCACACACACCACACACACACACACCACACATACATCTACACCATAGGGACACGGCACACACACCACACACACACACCACACACATGTACACCACGGGGACATAGCACACACACCACACACACACCAAACACACACCACACACACACCACAAACACACCACACATACATCTACACCACGGGGACACTGCACACACACCACACACACACCACACACACCCCACACAAACATCTACACCACAGGGACACTGCACACACACCACACACACACCACGCATACATCTACACCACAGGGACACTGCACACATACCACACACATGTACACCACTGGGACACCACACACACCACACACACACCACACAAACATCTACACCACGGGGACACCACACACACCACACACACACCACACATACATGTACACCACGGGGACACGGCACACACACCACACACACACCACACACACACCATACATACATGTACACCACGGGTACACTGCACATACACCACACACACACACCACAAACACACCACACACACACCACACATACATGTACACCACGGGGACACGGCACACACACCACACACACACCACACACACACCACACACACACCACACACACACCACACACACACCACACACACACCACACACACACCACACATACATGTACACCACGGGGACACGGCACACACACCACACACACACCACACAAACATCTACACCACGGGGACACAGCACACACACAGCACACACACACCACACACACACCACACACACACCACACACACACCACACACACACCACACACACACCACACATACATGTACACCACGGGGACACGGCACACACACCACACACACATCTACACCACGGGTACACTGCACATACACCACACGCACACCACACATACACCACACACACACCACACACACCACACATACATCTACACCACGGGTACACCACGGGGACACAGCACACACACCACACATACACCACACACACACCACACACACCACACACACACCACACACACATGTACACCACGGGGACATAGCACACACACCACACACACACCACACCACACACACACCACACATACACCACACACACACCACACACACCACACACACACCACACACACATGTACACCACGGGGACATAGCACACACACCACACATACACCACACACACACCACACATACACCACACACACACCACACACACCACACACACACCACACACACATGTACACCACGGGGACACAGCACACACACCACACACACACCACACACACCACACACACACCACATACACACCACATACACCACACACACACCACACACACACCACACACACACCACACATACATCTACACCACGGGACCCGGCACACATCACAGATACATCACATCACGCAACTAGGAACACTACACATACACGAAGCGTACACACCACAGAGACACACCACTTATGCACACAACTCGCACACACTGAACGTATACGTCACACACTTGGGAATGATAACGCATACACATAACTCACGCACACCACTCGCACACCCCACACATATACAGCCCTCACGCACACGACACACGCACACCACACAAACCATACACGCACACCACACAAACCATACACTCACACCACACAAACCATACACGCACACCACACAAACCATACACTCACACCACACAAACCATACACTCACACCACACAAACCGTACACTCACACCACACAAACCATACACGCACACCACACAAACCATACACGCACACCACACAAACCATACACTCACACCACACAAACCGTACACTCACACCACACAAACCATACACTCACACCACACAAACCATACACTCACACCACACAAACCGTACACTCACACCACACAAACCATACACGCACACCACACAAACCATACACTCACACCACACAAACCATACACGCACACCACACAAACCGTACACTCACACCACACAAACCGTACACTCACACCACACCAACCAAACACGCACACCACACAAACCACTCGTGCACACAAAAATACACACACACCACACACTAAGCATACACACTACTCATCATGCACCACATACGCACACTATGCTTACACCACAGAAAAACCACTCGCGTACACAGTGCACACAAACCAAGCAGACACACGACACAAATGCTAAAAAACCACACGACAGACACCCCACACAGCCACCCTACGGGCGCAGCCACATCTGTATGTGTGTGCGTGAAGGTGTGTACGTATGTAACTGCGTGTGTATGTCGGTGCTGTGTGTGCATGTGGGGAGTGGTGGAGTTAGTAGGTAGTGCACCACGCTACGAACCCCGCGAACGAAGTTCAAACCGGTCCTGGGCCTCCCCAACGTCGACTTTGCCTCAAATGGGTACCTGGTGCGGTGTGTAAACGTCACCACTTGGGAGACAAAGGCGGCCGGGCGTGGTGGTGGCCACCCACCCCCTCGTGTGCCGTAAAGGCCTTCATAGGTGCTCGCTAACAGCACTTGCCCCAACAGTCTGTTAAGGCTGTACGGGGGATTTTTTTGCCTTGTGTGTGCGCGCTGTCTGCGCTGTGTGTATGGACGGTATTTATGTAACTGTGTGTGTGTGTAACTGTATGTGCTTTGTGTGTTGCTGTGTGTGTAACCATATGTGTGTGTGTGTGCGCAACTGTGTGTGTGCAACAACGGAGGGCAGAGCAGCGACGCTCACAACAACGAGCGGAGCGCCGGGCGGCTAACACGAAGTTGGCACAGTAGGGGGATAAAGTTGTGCATCTGCCAGTCATCTCAGTCAGTCGACCCATGGCAACTGCTGGGTCTGTCCCGTGACCTCCTCCTGCCACATAGCCTGGCACAAGCGCCGTGGTGACATCACCGCCATCTAATGGCGAATGGCGGTTGTCGCTGTGTGTGTGTGTGCGTAACGCTGTGTGTGTGTGTGCGTGTGTAACGCTGTGTGTGTGTGTGCGTGTGTAACGCTGTGTGTGTGTGTGCGTAACGCTGTGTGTGCGTGTGTAACGCTGTGTGTGTGTGTGCGTGTGTAATGCTGTGTGTGCGTGTGTAACGCTGTGTGTGCGTGTGTAACGCTGTGTGTGTGTGTGCGTGTGTAACGCTGTGTGTGCGTGTGTAACGCTGTGTGTGTGTGTACGCACAGAAGGAGGCGATGGCCTTGATGTCGCCCGGCATGTCCGCTCCCCTCGAGTGGCTGCTGGGCCCCTTCACGGCCGTGGACGGGAGCCAGCGGGATGACATCGTGGTGCGCCACAGCCCCGGCTGCGCGGGGCCACCGGGCCACCCGATGACCCGCGCCCTCGACGGTCCGCGGCGTGACGGCGCGCTCAAGGCGGTGGGCGGCTTCCGGCACGGACCGCCCGGCCCGGCATCCAAAGTGTCGCCGTGCCCGCCCGTGGTAACGGCGCCGGAAGAGCCGCGGCGAGGGCCGGTGGCCCGGACGGAATTTCCGGCGGGGGGCAACCCCGCCGAGGTGGCGCCGCCCCCTACGTCCCCGCGGCATCGCCGATCGGCGCCCTCCGCTCGCGACGACCCCCGGCGCTCGCCGGCACCCACGGCCACGGGGGCGGCCGCCCCTCTCCACCTCGGGCTGACGCCAAGCGGCTCGGAACTCGACTCGCCTCGCCCGGCTTTGCTCGCCGCCGCCGGCAACGGACACGACCCCTCGCCGTACGGCGTCGTAGAGCCGGGTTTCCCCGACTTCACCGACTTTGCTGACCGCGCCGGGAGCTGCGCTGGCGACCACGGCCGCCACCGGCTAAGCTTTGCCGCCGCCACGGCGCCGCGGGGGTCGTCGGCACGGAGCGGCCGTGCCGGGGGAGACCGCGGCGGGGACATGCAGGAGCACCTCATCAACGTGCACAGCGCCCTGCAGCACGAGGTGGGGGAAGGGGAGGGGGAAAAGGAGCCTTGGGCTACGTTGTCCTCTCCAGATTGTAGTGTTGGGGCGAGGGTGAAGGGGGGAGGGTAAGCAGTGGGGCGGGGAGTCGTGTTGCTGGAACTGTTGCAAAGCGCTCGGGCAGGGCTCTACAGTTGCCCGCGGTTGTGGGTTGCCCGTGGGTTAACCGTGGGTGCCCGTGGGTGCCCTTGGTTGATGATGGGTTGCCCGTGGGGTGCCCGTGGTTTTCCCTGGTTAATGGTGGATTGCCCTGGTGTCACCTGCAGCTGCCTCACTTCTTCATGAAGAGGCACAACTACAAACTCTACTCGCCAAACGTCGTCTTCATTGTCGAGTTCCTCCGTCTCAAGACGAGGTGGGGGTGACACCAGATCTCTCCCCTCTGTCGTGTGCGCGCTGTGCGTACGTTAAACCCCCGTCTCTATCTGCGAGGGGTTCACGTTCTTGAAAACGTTCGCAAATGCAGAATTCAAAAATGCAGGAGCACTGCACCTGGGTGTGTGTGTGTGTGTGTTTGCGGTGCTGTGTGTGCACTGTGTGCATTGACAGTGCCTTGCGTGCGCTGTGTGTGTGTGTTGACGGTGCCGTGTGTGTTTTGATGGGGCTGTGCGTGCGCCGTGCGCTCCTTGCGCAGAGGCGTGGTGCTGTACCAGCTCTCCCTCTCGCTGCTGAACCTCCTCTCCTCCCTCTACTTCGTGGACGCCCACATGGAGGTGCTCAGTCTCACGCGCCACGACGACAGCGCCAGCGTGCAGGCGCGCTGGCGCCTGCGGGGGCTGCCGTTCCACGTCTTCCTGCTGCGGTTCTACCGCCGCGACAGATCCACGCTCTACAGGTGCTCGACGCTCGTTACGGGGCGCGCGAGATGTTAACTACCTCACCCTGACGATGCCTGTTGTATGTTCGGAGTCCGTGTGTTCTCTCCGTCTCGCCCCGTGGTCGCGTGGGCTTCTCTCCGGGTCCTCCGGTTGTTGCCACCACATTGAGAATCATCGTGCGTTTCTGTATGTGTATATGTTGAACTTACTTCGCCCAACCTTGGTAATCGGATGTTTGGAGTATTTGGCTCCTGCTATAAATTTCCACATGATGAGCCACTTCATTCAGCGATTATTTGTGGCCCAGGTCACTTCTGAAAAAGAGCTACATAGCTCAGTGGGCATTACTCGGTAAAATGAAAAATAGTTTATAGTCCAAGCTAACGAGCTGGCGCAAGGGGTGGTGGTGGTGGTGAGGTTGGTGACGTGAGGTCGACACGTCGCGTCGCCAACGTAACATCGACGTGACGTCGGCGGTTGTTTTTGTTGCTTGGGGCGAGGACCCCAACGGTGGCGCGTTCGCTGCTCGTTGCGGAGGTTTCACGGTTCGACTCTGGCAGGCCGCCCCGGTTCATGCCTCGGTTGCGCCGTTTACCACGAGATGCCCACGCGCTGTCCGCTGCACCCCGCAGCAGACGTCCGCGGATCCCGAAAGGATAACAAAAATTTACGAGCTTTATATACCCTCCGGCAAGAATATGGTAGGTGTTTAAGATATTCAGACGCCAAATAAACACCCGTTGCCAAGGCATCGAGCCTGCATGAGAACCACACATTATCATGCTTCTGGTAAAACATGCAAACAAATGTGCTTTGATAATAATGTACGCATTATCCTTGGAACCGATTGACCTACGCCATAGACATCCTCCTTAATGGCCTTGTTTCACCAGCGGTGTTAGGTCAGAGAATGCCAAAAGGCCAAAGAGCACAAACACGACGCAAATATCAAAGCATTCATGGCTCGGGTAGAGCAGTTCAATATACGGGACTGTGCGTTTTAACATTTTAACACCTGTATTCTTGCCGGAACAGGTAAAACCTATTATTATTTTTCATTATCTTGTTACCGGTGGCAACAAAGGAGTCCCTATAGGTTACAGATCCTAAAATAACGCTTGGCCATCGTGCCAAATTGTAAAAAAAATTACTCCGCAAATCACTCGGTTGGGATCGCGCGCAGCAGCAGCAGCAGCAGCGGGCAACAATCATCGCCCCCTAACCACGGAACGGCCGCAGCCTGCGTCTCACTGCCGTGGTGGCGCCTTCCTACGTCACTGTCGGCCCTTCACTAGGGGAACAATTGCGCCCCTTTTACCACGCTCGCGCCGTACTCCCATTTTATTGTATTTTTATCCGTTGCTGTGTGACGCGCGCAGGTACTATGATGCACACTCCACCTTCTACGTGGGGCCTGACGGACTCATACACTGCCACAAGGTGGCCAAGGTGGGGACGAGTTTGCAGTAGCCAGCCTCCCTCGCTCTCACTCGCTCTTCCTATTGCCTCCATCCTCCCCTGCCTACGCCTCCCATCTTCTCCCCGTGTCCTCCCTCCCCTGTGTATGTGCAGTAGTGTATGTGTGGGCAGCGGTAGTGTGGCGGTCAATGCGCTGCGCTACGAAGCCGACGACCAGGGTTCGGTTCCCGCTCACGGCCACAACACCAGTGACGATTATCTGAACTGGTCCTGGGCCTCCCCTAGGTCGTCTCCGCCTCAAATGAGTACCTGGTGTGATGCGCAAACGTCGCCACTAGGGAGACAAAGGCGGTCTGGCGTGGTACTGGCCACCCACCCCCTCGTGAACCGTTCCGGCCATAAGTGCTCGCTAGCAGCACTTGCCCCAACAGTGTTCAAGGATGGAGGGGGATCTTTGTCTTTTGTGTAGCATTGTGTGTGTGTGGGGGGAGGGGGCAGTATTGTAGTGGTTAGCATTCGGCTTCGGCACGGTAAGGTTAAAGGTAAAAACAACGAGCCTACCTTTACCCTACCTTTACCCTTAACCCATACAAATTACCCGATTACAGGGTAATTACTGGGCTACTACACATGAAAAAGGTTTATAACAGGTAAATGTTAGGTAGAGCACTTTATTCATCTATATATATTAAAGGGAAATGTGTGAATATGTGTGTCTGTTCGAAATGTTTAGCATATCATCATCATTAGACCTCCTTTGCCAGTACCAAAATGTAATAATAGGGTTTTTCCCCTTTTTTTCTGGCAACAAAACTGAAACCTTTTTACAAGGATTCATGTCTGCATTAACCACAATACCTGCAGTCAAAATGCAAACAAAAAAACATACTATGATAATATATGCATTGTCCTTGAAACTGATTGGTCCACACCAAGGGACGGCTTTCTTTTGAGCCTCGACCCAATTGGTGCTCGACCCAGATGACGCCAAAAGGCGTATGTTAAAAAGGGTAAAAATTACCTTACCTTGCCGAGGCCTAGTCAACGCTACGCTGCGCTACGAACCCAGGGACACGAGTTCGATCCCGCTCACGGCCAACACCAGTCACGATTATCTGAACCGGTCCCTGGGCTTCCCCTAGGTCGACTCGGATCTTAAATGAGAACCTGGTGTGGTGTGTAGTAAACATTGCCACTTACCGCTTAGTGTGCTGTGCTGGCTGCCAAGGTGCTACTTGCCCCAACAGTCCGTGAAGGCTGTGGGTCTGTGGGGGTCTTTGCATGTGTGTGTGTGTGTATATATATTGGGGAGCGATAGTGTAGCGGTTAGCGCGCTGCGCTATGAACCTGACGACCCAGGTTCGATTACCGCTCACGGCCAACACCAGTGACGATTATCTGAACCGGTCTCGGGCCTCCCCTAGGTCGACTCAGCCTCAAATGAGTACCTGGTGCGGTGTGTAGTAAACATCGCCACTAGGGAGACAAAGGCGGTCGGGCGTGGTGCTGGCCACCCACCCCCTCGTGTACCGTTCCGGCCTTCATAGGTGCTCGCTAACAGCACTTTCCCCTACAGTCTGTTAAGGCTATATGGGGGATCTTTGATCTTTGTGTATATATATATTAGGGTAAGCACTGCAGAAGTATGAAAGAAACAAACAGCAGACGAGGGCTCTAGACGTGATCTGGCAAAACACGGCTTGTGCTGGCTGGGACACGTGCAGAGTGGGGGAGGATAGTGTCAGCAACTTGGAGGTTAAATTTTGATTTAAGGCTTTCGCGACTGCGGTGATTCATATTCTTGGTTCTTTCGGTAAAGTCACGTTGAAGGGAAACAATAAAATAATAAAATATATATAAAACATTAAAATTCTCACGACGTTTCGACTGCAACACAAGCAGTCATCATGATGACATCATATATTAGGGTAAGCACTGTTTTATATATATTTTATTATTTTATTGTTTCCCTTCAACGTGACTTTACCGAAAGAACCAAGAATGCGAACTTGGAGGTTGACGAAGAGAATGTGGCGGGTGAGTGGCAGCGATGCGATTTGGGCAGGATGGATGAGAGTCGATTGGTGAGGCCTGGTATCATAGTCTTCACGAGTCCCGCGACCCAGGGGAAGAGCAGACCTAAGAGCAGATAGTGGGAGACTGATAAGCCAAATCTGTGGGTCTCGTGTGAGTCGATGAGTCTTTATACGATAAGTCGATGGCCTTGTAAAAAAATCTCGGTCTCTGAGCGTCTCTTCCTCAGGCTGGAGAGGTGGTGAAGGTATCATCGCTGGCTTTGCCCACGATGACCCGTCCGTGTGTGTTCCTGCACCCCAGCTGATGCCGGTGAACCCCACGGAGCACAAGCTGACTGGGCTCACCCTGGGGGTGCTGGGGGCGCTGGGGCTGCAGGAAGAGCGGCCGGCACTCAGCTTCCTGACCCTGTTTCTGGCGCCGCTCACTCGCGGCCCCTCCTGCCCCTCCGTCTGCTGTTCCTCCTCCTCTCCATCGCCATCCTGCGCCAGCGCCGGACGCTCATGAGCGCAGCGGTCACCGGCTTCCTCTCGCGGGCACACACACGTGCGCACTCGCTCATACACACGCACACACACACTCGCTCATACACACGCACACACACACGTGCGCACTCGCACACACACACACACGTGCGCACTCGCTCATACACGCACACGCGCACACACACGTGCGCTCTTGCTCATACACGCACACACACACACACACACGTGCGCTCTTGCTCATACACGCGCACACACACACACACACGTGCGCTCCCGCTCATACACGCACACACACACACACACACTCGCTCATACACGCGCACACACACACACACACGTGCGCACTCGCTCATACACGCGCACACGCGCACACACACACGTGCGCACTCGCTCATACACGCGCACACGCGCACACACACACACGTGCGCTCTCGCTCATACACACACACACACGTGCGCTCTCGCTCATACACACACACACACACACGTGCGCACTCGCTCATACACGCGCACACACACACATACGCGCACGTGACAAAAAGGCCCCCCCGGTATAGCCTGAACAGACTGTTGGGGCAAGTGCTGTTAGAGAGCAGCACCTATGAACACCACACCAGGCCGCCTTTGTTTTGCAATGTATTTACACACCGCACCGGATACTCATTTGAAGCTGAGCCAACCTAGGGGAGGCCCAGCACCGGTTCAAGATAATCATCACTGGTATTGGCTGTGAGCTGGAATCGAAATCAGGTTGCCGGGTTCGTAGTGTAGCGCGCTATCTGCTACACTACCGCTCCCCATAATGATATACTGGGCACACAAGTGCACATACATTCGTATGCAGCATCACGTCACATACGTCAAAATATTTTTCCCAATCGTACGGTGGGCCCGCTTGGGTTCCTGCAGCCACCAGAGGCGCTACCATTCACCACAATATTAAACATGAATCGGTTCTTGAATGGTATTGGTTGTCAACATCGGAACCGGTTGTCAACATCGGAACTGGTGAAAGTAAGGTGGGTGGTGTTAGCCAGACTCTTTTGAGCACTGTGCAGACCGCCTTCATAGGTACTCACTAACAACACCTACTCCAGAACTATGGAGGTTAAAACTGAGGATCTTAATTGGTTACGTCATACGCGGAGATGAGGCGCAGCCACGAGTGACTTGTGACCAGAACGTTATTTCTGGCTGAATATTTGCCGGGTCACTGGTAGACTGCAGTAGGTGGCACGTCACTGGTAGCCGCAGCCGGTAGTGCCAGGCTAGGTGCACCTTTTATTTAACTGTTAATGTTGCAGGACTGATTTAGGCCAAGGTGCCTGTCGCCCCCCCTCCGCCCTACCCTCTTGCTTGGATGCCACAACCCAGGGAGCTCACTCTAGCCAAGCAGGATGTCTAGGCGAGGATTTGCGGCCTGCTTAAGCTGTGGAAAATTAACAAGTTGTACGTGTCGTGGAAGTTTGAATGTAAAATTGCGAAGTTAGTTCCCTTGAAAGATAAAAAAAGCGTTGCCAGTGTTGTGACCCTAAATTAAAAAAGGGGCAAAGTGATTTTCTGCTTAAATGAGCTTTGAGGCTTTGGTGCTCATCTCCCATTATTTACAGTCCTGAGCCAGCAGTGGAAAATTCCACATTCCCATGGCGAGCGCAAATCCATTCACAGGGAGGGGAGAGAAAAAAACGATGACTTGTCCGCAAAGTTGTAGATAATTTTATCCAGAGGGATTGGCTGAGTCAACAACCAGGATTCGAAACTCGACCTTCCCACTCGCCCGCCTGCCCACCGCTCCGATGTCCTGCAGAGACACGGGCTGCACCTGACAGGAGGCGACAAAAGCCACGTGACCTGGTAACGGCCAATCGCAGCGCAGCTCTTGCATTGTCACTTTATAATCTAAATCGGCTCAAGCCTCCCGCAAACCACGCGGCTTCTATGGATGGTCAACACCATGCTGAATTGTCGCCCTCTCCCCGTCACCCGCCGTGTCAATGGACGCTGCTGCTCTGTTCCGTGCGGCATCGGCAGCGTCGAGGCCTTCGTGTAGCCTCGTCCGATCCATCCTCACCTCTCCTGACCCAATGCTCCAGTTTCTCCCTTGCTTTTCCATTTCCGCCTTTGTTCTCGATTCTTTCCTTTCGCCACACGTTACCCAGCCGACTCCACTCCCCTTCACCTGGTGCTTGCGGCCCGCAACAATGTACCGGGTCAGGCGGGGGGGGGGGGTGTGCGGGTGTGCGCACGTATATGTAGATGCATAAATTAATATCGGTGATTAAGTTCACAAGGCGCGCGGGCTAAGGCACACAGGTGGAGGTAATCGATTTTCATCGTGACCCCCCCCACCCCCTTCCCTCCAACCGCTATAGGTCACCATAGCATTCACTGCAGTGCTCTTCTTGAATCGAATCACGACAAGGAATCGTGACAGCTGACGGGGGCGAGTGGTCGGACCCGGGGTGGGGGGGTCTCGGACGCCAGGCGTGGAGATGCGTTCGGGGTCGCTGGTATGGTAGTTGGGAGTGCAGGCGTCACTTGACCGTGGGTGGTGGCCCACCCCCCCCAGAGACAGGACATGTATGTATGTATGGCTGTTGAACTTCTTTCGCACCAACGTGCGTAGCCACCAACCGTGCTCAGCGGAGGTGCGGGGGGGGAAAGGCACAAAATACCGGGCGTTGTTGGGAGGTTGCCGGATGTGTAAAATATTTTTGGAGTCGGCCGACCCAGGACCGGACGCGACTGAGATGAAGCCCCCCCCCCCCCCCCCCCCCCCGCCCGCCCGCCCGCCTCCTGTTCGCTCGGAGGTAGACCAAGCGGCCGCAGGGAAGCTTGCGAGCCGTGCGGTTCACTGATGAGAGGAAGACCAGCCCGGCGACACTCAACTGACTTGGGAAGGCGCGTTTATTTTACGGGCGTGTTGCGTGGCGGTGTTATTTTGTTTTTGCGACTTGCACCGTGTTGTGTCCTTTTTTTGTTGTTGCGATGGACGTTAAAGCCATTGGCAATGTTGTCGGGAGCGACGCGCGGGGTCCCCTCGTGCTAATGGACTGTGGGGGGTTCGTTTAACGGTCGTGGTCCGAGACGCTGAGAGATCCCGGGTTCACAATGGCCATGTCGGTGATTCTATATCAGATTATTGAACTGGCACCACTGATATCCAGGGTTCAAACCCTGGGTTCCTATTTGTCTATTTTGATATTCGCAATGGCCATGTTGGTGATTGTGTCAGAGAGAGAGAGAGACATACTGACCCAGCACCAGTGATCCAAGAATCAAACGTTAGGTCGATCTCTCTCATCGGGTCCTTCATGGCCACGTCGGAGACACGGAGCCAACAATCGCCGAGAACGTCGGTGTTGATGACCTGACTGGCTGTCCCTCGCCAGGGTGCCACTGGGCCATCATCTACCCTCCGACAACATTGAGTTGTGGCTCCTTGGCAGCCATCGGAAGTTGTGCCGGGCCCAGCACGCACGCACGCACGAGCGCGTGTCGAGGTTCAGTGTTGTCTGTGGCTACGTGGGGTACCGTTTGTAAATAATAAATGCACACGGGTAGGTGGGGGCTGTGGCGCACAGTGCGGTGGAGCGCCCTCCGTGTGAACGTCGCTCATGAACGTTCGTGGTGTAAACTGTTCATCCAGCCGAGTGTTTCTGACAGTACAGGTGTTAAGATGTTCGAAGCTAAACTAAAACAATTTTTATTTTATTTTACCAGGTTAAATTTTGATTTAAAGCTTTCGTGACTGCAGTAATTCATATTCTTAGCTCTTTCGGTAAAGTCACGTTGAAGGGAAACAATAAAATAATAAAATATATATAAAACAATAACAATTATCACGACGTTTCGACCATAACACAAACGGTCGTCATCAGGTGTGTCGGACTTTACCGAAAGAGCTAAGAATATGAATTTACCAGGTTTATGCCCCACTGAGCTATGTGGGTCTATTTGAGAAGCGATCTGGCTATCACAAATGATAGCTCAACGATTTGGCTTATCATCACGTGGAAATAAATATATAGCAGCCATCGACTCTCAACGCGTGGTGATGTTGATTCTAAATGTGGAGGGAAAAACCGGAGGACCCGGAGAAAAATCCACACGACCACGGGCAGAACGAGAGACACGCAAACTCCAAATATACAGCAGGGGTCGGGATCGAACCCACGAACCTCCTGTATACCAGGCGATGTAGTTAACATCTAGCCACCGTGGCGCCCGTTCATCTTATATCGGCAAAAAGGGTTCCAAACGTGCAACCCGAGCTGTTAATGCTGTGATATTTGTGGTGCCTTTTGGTGGTGTTCTCTGGTCAAACACTGGTGGTGAGACAAGACCATAGAGGAGGCTGCCTGGTGTAGGACAATGTGTAGAGGACAATGCATACATTATTGTCATCGGAGCATGTTTGCATATTTTACCGCAAACATGATGTGTGGTTAATGCAAACTTGATGCCTTGAAATTGGCGTCTATTTGGTCAGTTTAACACGTAGGCTTTCGTGACCAATATCCATAAGAGGTTAAAAAAACGTATGGATGTCTGTTTGGTGTTTGAACATCTTAACAGCTGTGTTATTGCTGGAAGGATAAAGCTTATTAATGTTTCATCTAGCTTGATAGCGGTGGCAACAAGGGCCCCATACATCCGAGTGGTTGTAATTGGAGTCGTCGGTGACAGTGAGTCATGATTGAGTGACGATGATGACTACGGCCACTGCGTTTCCAACACCATCAACAATACCATCATCACTCATTGTCGCTCCCAACACCATCAATCATCGTCACTACCACCACCATCACGACCATCACTACCACCATCATCTGACCATCACCGCCAGTGCCGTCACCGCATTACCACCATTGCTACAATTGTCACCATCACTACCACCATCATAACTATCGTGATCATCATCACCACCATCATCACTGCCACCACCACAACTACCCCAGCCATTACTACCATCATGATGACTACAGTCATCATGATGATGACTACAGTCATCATGACCACCGCAGATATCCCAACTATCATCACTACAACCTCCACCACCACCACCATCTGTGCTGCTAGGCTGACTGCCCACCACAGACCGGATCGCGCCTGACACGCAACGAGGTGGACAGCCG